TTAGAATGGTCTCAACAACCTCAGTTGAGAGACCACTCTCTATGAGTTGGGCCCCCTCAGAGGCCAAACCCACAGGTTCCAAATCTCTGGTCGGAGGTGAAATATTGTGCCCCCGGCCTGAGACAGAAGGTCTCTCCTGATCGGGATCTCCAAGGGAGGACCGTCTAAGAGATGGATCAGGTCCGCAAACCAGATCCGACTCGGCCCGCGTGGTGCTACTAGCAGTAGGCTTATTCCGTACTGGCGAACTCGCTCCAGAACTCCTGGGAGCAGAGCAACAGGGGGAAATGCGTACAGACGTAGCCTCGGCCACGTCTGCACCATAGCATCCAGCATCACTGGGTGAGTAAGGGAGAACCAAAGTGGACAGTGCGTCGTATGCTGAGACGCAAACAGATCCACCTCTGCTTGGCCGTAAAACTCCCAAATTTTCTCCACCGCCTCGGGGTGGAGTCTCCAGTCCCCTGGCCTCAGCTCCTGCCTCGACAGGATGTCTGCTCCAATATTCTGGTCCCCAGGAATATACAGGGTCAGGTTCAGGGTCTGAGAGGAATTGCCTCAACGCATTGAAGACATCCATCATCTCCAGGCAATTTATGTGCCAAGAAAGATGATGACTCCTCAGCAGACCCTGAACCGAGCGGCCTTCCATTACCGCTCCCCAGCCGGTGAGGGAAGCATCTGTCGAGATCGGAACTCGATGGCAAAGAGCTCCCAACACCGGACCCTGGGTTAAGAACCAGTGTTTCCTCCATATAACCAAGGCGCGGAGACACCGCCGCGTGATCTTGATTATACGAAGTGGGTTTCCCCTCGGAGAGAACCCTCTGGTCCTGAGCCACCACTGTAAAGGTCTCATGTACAGCAGGCCAAAAGGTATCACGTTGGACGCTGCTGCCAAGAGACCCAACAGTCTCTCGAACTGTTTTACAGTGCGTGACTGGCCTAGCCTCAGCTCTTCTGTGGCTGTCAGGATAGCAGCTACACGAACGGGCGATAGAGTGGCCCGCATCGTCACTGAATCCCATACCACACCAAGGAAAGTGGTTCTCTGTACTGGAGAAAGAACACTCTTCTTGGCATTGAGCCTCAACCCCAACATCTGCATATGAGCGAGAACGACACCTCGGTGCCGAACCGCCAACTGCTCTGATTCCGCTAGAATCAGCCGGTCGTCGATGTAGTTCAGAATACGTATGCCCTGCAGCCTGAGCGGGGCTAGAGCTGCATCTACGCATTTCGTGAACCTGCGGGGTGATAGAGCTAGACCGAAAGGAAGTACCCGATACTGGTATTCTTTGCCCCCGAAAGAAAACCTTAGGAACTTCCTGTGCTGAGGGAGGATGGAGACATGGAAGTAAGCGTCCTTCAGATCTATCGTGACAAACCAGTCCTCGGATCTGATTTGAGTCACGATCTGTTTGAGTGTCAGCATCTTGAACTTGAGTTTCTGTACTGAACGATTTAACAGATGAAGATCTAAAATGGGACGCAACCCTCAATCCTTTTTCGGAACAAGGAAATAACGGCTGTAAAAACCTGACTCTCTGTCGGGTGAGTACACCTGTTCTATAGCTTCCTTTGCTAACAGGGCTTTTACCTCTTGCTCCATTACCAGAGCCTGCTCGTGATGCACTACTGTGAGCAACACCCCGTTGTAGCGAGGAGGACGAGAACCGAACTGGATTCTGTATCCTTTCTCTACAATCTGCAGGACCCAACGAGAAATATTTGGCAGTAGCTTCCACGCTGCCAGAAAATCTACTAAGGGAACCAGCCTCTCGAGGCTGGTCTCTGGTGTTAACGAGACAGCCAGTTCTGGAGCCTGAAACATAATGGCAGGAACTACCTGAACTGGCTGCTCTAAAACCCCCCTCAGAGGGCGCGAAACCGATGCAGTGCCGCAGCATAGCATCAGCGACTCACTGGAGACCGCTGCGCCCCGAAGCACCAAGGGTGACGGGGTTGGCAGAACGGTCCCGTGAGGACCCCGAAGTGGAACGGGCACCGTATTCTGAGGTGTACACCGCTCCACTTGGTTGGGGCTGTCCTCACAGGTCTGACGCCAGTGACGTCAGGACCTCTTTTTTTGAGCCGAAGTCGTCTTCGCCTGAAGAACGGTCCTCAGATCCGGCTTCGACTTAGAAGACTTCGGCTGAGAGTGTTGCGCCTGTTTCCAGTGTTTATGTGGAGGTGCACGAGACGAAACACTCTCTTTTTGTTGCGCACGATATGAGGAGCTCGACGGCTGGGGCTGCTCACGCCCAGCAGCCCCAGGGGGCTGGACACGGCGAGGGAGAAACTTTTTAAATGCCTCCGCTTGCTTCTTCGACTCTTGAAATCTCTCGACGACCGCATTGACTGCGTTGCCGAAGAGACCAGAAGGCTCAAGCGGAGCATCCAATAAAAAAGCCCGGTCTTTTTCTCTTATTTCGGCCAGATTTAACCAAAGGTGTCTCTCAGTAGCTACAAGGGCTGCCATAGACCGCCCAATTGCTCTGGCGGTCTCCTTTGTAGCTCTGAGAGACAGATCGGTGGCCCGACGAAGTTCTCGAACCTCGTCAGGACCAACTCCCTCACTCCTATCCAGATCCCCCAGCAGGTCAGCCTGGTAAGCCTGGAGTACTGCCATAGTGTGCAGACATGTTCCAGCCTGACCTGCTGCCGTATACGCTTTGCCCACTAAAACCGAAGTTGCTTTAAGCGGTCTAGTGGGCAAAGCTGAGGCCTTCAGAGACGATCCTGGGCCAGGTGACAGATAGCTCGCGAGCGTCTGTTCAGCCTGGGGCATCGCCTCATATCCGTACTCTTTCAGCCCTCTTATACCTGAATATAAATGAACCTGAGGGCTGAAAAGTCGTGACGAGTACGGTTTATCCCATGATCTAGATAGCTCATTATGAAGATCGGGAAAAAAGGCAAGGCCCCGTGGTGGAGATGATGTAGCTGAAGAAAGGAAACGCTCGTCTAATTTACTTTTGGGACGAGCGCCCCTTTTCTCAGCTGGCCATTCAATATTTAATTTTTCTACAGCCCTAGACATCACATCCACCAGCTCCTCATATGCTGGGGAAACAGGTGGCGAATCTCTTTCCCCAGTGTGTGTGCTTACACTCTCCATACTCATCACATCAACCTCCTCAGAGGAAGAGCAATGAAGTAATGGAGGGCTCTCTCCCCGGGCGGAAGAAGCCGCAGAGCGGGCTTCCGACACCGGGGGGAGAGCACTGGATCCTCCGGGTAAGGAAGGAGAAAAGGCCCTCGGACCCGTCTCCAACCCCTCCGAAAGATCCTTTTGCGATCCCCAGGAATGCGTTCTCCGTGCTGCCTCGGCAACAGCAGGTCCTGCACCCTGAGGATCGCGAGCCTGACCACTCTCGTCAAAGAGTGACAGGCGAGAGCGGAGAATGCGAAGTGGAAGCATCTCACAATGCTGGCACTCAGCCCCCTCGAAGGCTGAGACCGCATGCTCCACTCCCAAACAAACGACACAAAGCTCGTGTGTGTCCCCACCCGTTAAATAACGCGGGCAGGGAGAAGCACACTGTTTGTACATTTGTTTCGCCATAACTCTTTCCAATATATATGCAACAGACAACAATAAATAGACAGAGACAGAGTAACACAGATCGCTTGCTGAGACACAGAAGCTAATGCCGGTTTGCACCGGATGTGCTTTTATCCCTTCCTGGTCATGACGTCACCCGCCCGTGACGCTCATTCTTTCCATTGGACTAGTTGACATTGATGCTCAGACGCATTCACGCTGGGGGCGTTCCCAAAGCGTCGTTGACGCATCGCGAGTTCCCTCGAAAGGGAACTATGTTATTCCCTTAACTAAGACGAGTTGATGCATACCTCTCTCGTCTCAGTGCGTGCACTCAATCGCTCTGGTGCGCGAGACACTTTGATAGCACTTAACTTAGCCCAGTTCATTCATTAGGATCCAAACAGAGAAGGGACCAAACACCTCCACGTTTTCCCTATTTAAATACAGTTACATGAGTAGTGTAACTCGACCAAGAATGGTGACACAAAATAAAACGTTGCGCTTTTCTAAGCGTGTAAAGTGGATAACTATAATGTATGGCGGAATACCACAGCAAGTGCTTGGGAGCACTTCGACTCGGCGCAGTAATATCATCACTCGTGAAAAGTCCTCTCCCCCTCTCCCTCTCCGGAGTGATGATATTACTGCGCCGAGTCTATAGATATATATGCGCCGAGTCGAAGTGCTCCCAAGCACTTGCTATGGTATTCCGCCATACATTATAGTTATCCACTTTACACTCTTAGAAAAGCGCAACGTTTTATTTTGTGTCACCATTCTTGGTCGAGTTACACTACTCGTGTAACTGTATTTAAATAGGGAAAACGTGGAGGTGTTTGGTCGCTTCTCTGTTTGGATCCTAATGAATGAACTGGGCTAAGTTAAGTGCTATCAAAGTGTCTCGCGCGCAAGAGCGATTGAGTGCACGCACTGAGACGAGAGAGGTATGCATCAACTCGTCTTAGTTAAGGGAATTACATAGTTTAATATGAAAAAGTGGTGGAGTATCCCTTTAACAATAAGTGCTTTTGAAGTAAGGGATAGAATATTCAGCAACCCGAGCTTTATCATTTGTTCATCTGTATTATATCTGGGTTTTTTTAGTTGAACATCAATTACATTTTTACCCTTAAATGGGTTTGGGAGTTTTTTCGATTTTCTAACTCAGGGTACAGACAGTCTCTATATGATGATATCTAGGTGAAAGAGTCTCTATGTCCTCTAATGCCTTGGGTTGGTGTTATATTTCTAATATTTCAACAGCTGCCATACCCTTCCATACGCAATTGACGCCCCTACCCATCCCAAAAAATCATCCCGTCCCGTACCTAAGTCACTAGTTCAGTCTAAAATGGTCATGTAAAGTGTCATGAAATGTCAGCAAATGCTAAATTTGTTTTAATAGTTTTCTAAAGTTGTCTGACATTGACAGATTGTATTTGTATTGCAGAGTGTTTTGGACCTGACACGGAATGAATTTTACACCCTCCCAAACTGGAAACAACTGAATCTGAAAAAGAGCAAAGGCCTCTTTTAAACAAATTAAATGTTTGTGACTACGATCTGTTGTATATTCACTTAAAGTAATTACTAAGGAACTGTGCATATTTTCTCTGTGCTTTTTTTCACCAATATGTACAGTTAATTTTTTTTTTCTTTTTAAAGATGTACCTACCTATGGCCTTAGCAGTTTCATATTACATACATCAGTAGCTTTTGGTTACAAGACTTTTCTATACATTTTAAGTTTGCAAAAAGTGAACGTTTTGGGAATAGCTTGAAGCATATCAACATACTGTAAATCTATGTCTCGCTACTCACAAGCTTGAATTTTAAATATGTATTCCATTTTATTGTTTTACCCTGTTTAACCCTGTTTCTATCAAACTGTGACCTTAAAATGCATTAAACACTAATGATGACAATTCATGTAATCAGTGGAAAACAAATGGAGGCCTTTCACGCAGTCACTGAGCTCTGTGCAAGATACGCAGTGGAAAGTGAATAGCTTTTTAAACCATAATGTGTGCACATATAAAGTGCACTGCTGCCACAGGAATGAAGATGACTAATATGCAGTATTATGTGATCTTTTTAATGTGACAATACAGTTACAACAATATTAAAAATAACAAATCAATATGTATGTGGTTTCTCAAAATATATAAATGTATTGTTTGGCCAGTATCAGAATTATGCCACTAAAATATATACTGTAGCAGCTCTTGGTTGACAATAAATGTTATTCAATATCATACCACTAGGTGTCGCTCTCTTTTTAATCCATTCTCATGGTCTGATAATAAAATGCAAGACTTCAGTATTTCATCCTCAAAAGATTGTAAAAAAATATTTAGTGAAGTATTTTACAAGGTTTGTTTTAAGATGCAAAGACACCTTGACGATATCAAGCAAAAGCCAATACTTTATTATTATTGTTATTATTATTATTTACTTTGAAAGCATTTCTAAAACAACCTAAATAGGCCTATCTACAGTCTATACAATCTCTTTTAAAGTGTTCCTGTGTCAAGATAAGGATATAACAGTGTTGTTCTACACCAATATTGAGCACTGCTGAGCAGGAGGAAATGCTCTTGGCAGAGAGGGGAACAGTGTGTGAATCACTGATTACCAGAACTTTGACAAAATGAGAAAAGTACCTACAAACTGATGATGCATTGGGCAAGACAAACACTGTGATTAAATTTGCACATTTTATCTCTGTGACTTGTACCTTTTCTATCCTGTAAATATATTAAACTGTGCTGTGACATGTCTTCGGGTTCCATATTTGAATATACAGTATTTATATATACTCTGGTAAAAAAGTTAGGGGGTGGTACGAATTTATGTTTTTGTTTGTTTTAAGTCTTATGCTCAGCAAGGCTGCACTTATTTGATCAAAAATACAGTAAAATGCTAATATTGTGATTTCCGGTTATGTCGGGTTGCTGAACGGTCACGGTTTTCAATGCTCTCGGATAATCCTGTTTTTAAACCTTTATCTAGACCCGATAACTAAAAGAAACGTTTTTTTTTTTTTTTTTTTTACGGTGGCTCTGCAAAACAGTCAGCATGTCTTCACGTCCGCAAAGAAAAAGAGATAAAAAAGATAATACAGATTTGGCTGTCGACGACCTAGGACCCACGTCTGAAGCTGATCGCACATCGGTTGGCGCCAACACTCACACCGAGGCTGATACTCCACCCGATAATAGCGTAATTCTTTCAGCTATAAACGGTTTGAAGAGTGAGTTTCGGTCCCAATACAAGGAGGTTCTGGCAGTGATTTAAGAAGTTAAAGAGGATTTCTTTACCTTCACTGAAAGACTTACCGAAGCGGAGAGCCGAATCAGCCAAGCCGAGGATGACATTAGCGGCCTTCAAGGAAGGGTTGTTAAACTCGAAAAATCCGTATCGGATCTTGCCTCTGCTCTTGACATGGCCGAATGTAGAAGCCGGCGCTCTAACATTCGGATTTTGGGACTTCCAAATGGAATCAAAGGAAATAATCCGGTTTCGTTTTTGGAAAGTTGGCTTCTAGGTGCGGATACCTTCCCGGCGCCGGTGATCATTGAAAGGGCACACAGGCTACCCAGCAGTGGCAAACAAGCTGGTGGAAACGCATCGTCAAGGCCAAAAACAATGATACTGAAATTACTCAACTATGCTGACAAAGACAGAATACTGAGAGCAGCCCGGGCAAGAAGTGCAGTGATGTTCCAGGATCACCATATTATGTTTTTTCCTGATCTATCGTCCGAGGTGTTAAAACACAACGAAAGCGATTTGAGGAGGTGAAGCTAGAGGTTCGAAAGAGGAAGATTAAGTACGGGATGATTTTCCCCGCCAAGCTTCTGGTTATCTTCGGAGACCGTCGTCATTTCTTCCATTTCGTTCAGCCCTCATAACTTTAATTCCTACGCCAGGGAAAGATCCTACGAAATGTGGCTCTTACTTTTAAATTCAGACACAAAGATAATTGCTAAAGTTTTAGCCAGTAGACTTGATAAGTATTTACCTTTACTGATTGATCCTGATCAAAATGGCTTTATAAGAGGTAGACAAGCTTTTCATAATATACGGCGTGTGTTAAATGTCATACACTCAACAAAAGGAGTCTCGGATACAGCTTTACTTTCTTTAGATGCAGAGAAGGCTTTTGATAGGGTGGAGTGGGACTATCTTTTGATACATTCTCTTATTTTGGTATCGGTCCGTATTTTATAAAATGGATATAAATTTTATATTCAAAACCCACAGCATAGATATTGACTAATAATATAATCTCTAAATCTTTTCCACTTTCTCGAGGCACATGTCAGGGATGCCCCCTTTCGCCGCTCCTTTTTACATTGGCTATTGAGCCTTTGGCTATTGCAGTACGAAGAAGTGAAGATATATCAGGGATTACAATTGGCGGTCTTGAAAATAAAATAGCTTTATATGCTGATGAGATTATATTATTTCTATCCAATTTAAGTACATCTGTGCCTTCTTTATTGTGCCTAATTAAATCATTCGGAACCTTTTCAGGTTATAAAGTGAATGAGTCAAAATCTATGATCCTATTTCGGTAGCACTTTAGAATACTGTATCTTACTTATTGCATAACTAATAAGGAGTTATTGAAGAATTAGTAGGTAATTCTTCATTAACTACTTCTTCACTGCTGTTAACTACTAAGGAAGATGTGTTAACTAATCAGTATGTAATAGAATGTTATGATTGTGTTAAGTAACAGTTAGTTAATCAATAACTAATGAATTCTGTCATACCACCTGAAGAACTACCATTAATTATCTATTAATTAAGGTTCAAGAAAAATAACTATGAAGTAACTACTAATGAACAGTCATACACAGTAGTCACTACAATAATCCAGTTTTTTTTTTACCATTGTAGTGGTGGAAGAAGTACACAAATCAAGTGCTTGAGTAAAAGTACAGATACCCCAATAAAATATTACTCCAGTACAATTATAATTAGGCCATTTTCAAAATTACCTTAGTAAAAGTACAAAGGTAATTAATTTTTAAAGTACTTAAAAAGTAAAAAGCATATTATTATACTTAGTTCTTATACATTGTAAACTTATTTTGCACCATTCAAGTTCCGGCAATATCGCGGTGGTCTACATTTTACAGTGATTTGGTGATGCAAGAGCACAGGGATTTGCATCCTCTTCTGGAGAGTTCTCAGCTCGATTTGGTGCATTTCTTCTGCGAAATACAGGTTTGTGTATGTTTTATTTAATCTATAAAATCATTACATTTTGGATGGAAAAAAATGCAGGAGAAATTCTAACACACAATCATTAAATCCAACTTACGCCAGACAATGAGTAAACTAAGACAGAGGGTATAAATAGAGTCAGCAAACAAGGATAATCAAATGAGGAACACCTGAACAGAGTACTACAACCAATGTGTAACCATAGCAACAAATCAGAAGGGAACAGAACCAATTGCAATGACAACAAAACCAGAAATGAACAGGAAGTGGATGTTTGTATTGTTTGATTTAAAAACAATAGGACTATTTAGTGTTTGCAAACAGTGATGCTGTTTTTTTGTGGGCGGAGCCTTCCTGGTGGCAGAAAGTGACAGTTCCCTTTCGTTGTCACTTCGAGTTACGTCGAATGACGACGAAATGGGGTTCACTTAGAAGCCTCTCATCTTCGAAAGAAATAAAACGAGCCAATGGCAAGGAAATCCCATGGGTCTGCGGAATTTGCATGGCGTAACTCCGCCCCACCGCGTGGGTATAAAAGGAAGGACGCCGCAATATGCAGATATGTTTTTCGCTTCGGAGCCAAGAAGTTCTCTTCACTCCTGCAGCCTATTCTCTGACTATCTTCGAGAATCTTCTAGACGAGTAGTTTCCAGTCGGTGTTGGTGTGATGACGTGTTCCAGCGAGTTTCACATTCTTGCCTGCTGAACAGTGTGTGTGCGCTTCTCCCTGGGCGCTTCAGCACTGCTGCAAGCTTTTCTCTCACAAAAAGAGCGTGCACGCGGTGCGTCTTTCTAAAGACGATCTGCCCGTGTATTTCTGAGTGCGGTATTCTGATAGATTCAGCTGATGGGCACGATCGCTGTTTTGACGTGTTTGGGCTTCGATCACGCTCAAACAGCGTTCTCCAAGCGGGAACATGACCATCGCAATGTAACGGTCGAGACTCAATGAGCTCAATAGAGCGAGAGTCCCCTCATCCACACCGCGATCTATTTTTCGATTCGGTTCCCCGGCTGATGAAATCATGTATATCGCCGCATCACAAGGTGAGCTGGAGTCCTCTGGAAATGAGGTCTTGTCTGTGCTGCCATCCTCGGGTGTGCTAGCATAACGAGTCTGATCCGGAGTTCACAGCTATGTTTTCCCGGGCCGCCGCGAGTATCGGGCTTGTGTGGAACCATCTGCCATGTCCCGTGCACTTAAGGCTGATGATTGGTTTTTGGGGAAGGCGAACCCAAATCCTTTCTACCCGGACGTGCATGAAGAGGTCATGAGATCGTGGGAGTCTCCTTTGACTTTTCGCGACTGCTCAGCGGCCTCTTCTGCCTTCTCTGCCCTCGCAGAGGCCAAGGGTACACTGGGGTTTCCCCCCGTGGAGAGTTCTGTGGCAACACATCTGAGACCCTAAGCACCCCTCCAATGCCTGTAGGTTTTTTGTCTACTCCGGTGGCAAAGACCTATAGAGCTGCAGGGCAGGCTGCCGCCTCACTGCATGTTATTGCCATCCTTCAGGGTGCTCAATGACATGCACGAGGGTAGGGCTGATTCAGGGCTCATCCAAGAGCTGCCTGCCCTCACCGACCTCGCTCTACGAGCGACGAAGGTGACCGCATGCTCCCTGGGTCAGGTGATGTCCACATGCGTGGTCAGACATATCTGGCTTAACCTGGTGATATGCGTGAGGCTGAGCGAACCCGCTTCCTCAACTCCCCCTTATCCCAGGCTGGCCTCTTCGGCGGCACGGTCGAGGACTCTGCCCAACAGTTCTCGGCCGCCCAGAAGCAGACTGAGGCTACCAAACATGTTCTGACCCCGCGGCCAGATGCTGCCACCCAGCCGCCGGCTCAGACGCCTCAGTCCGCTTGCCACCGTACGTGCCCTCCTGCGACTTCCGCCCCCTCCCGCCCGGCCCCAGCAGCACCGGGCCGCGCCGTGGAGGTGGTCGCAGGAAGGCGCCCCTCCCCGTACCAGTCCCGCAGCCTGCTGAACGCCAGGCGATGCGGTGCTCCCGTTACGGG